GGCCCTGCCCCGGGGCGGAGGGGTGAGTGGACTCGGAGGCGTGGCAGAAGTTACTGAAGCGATGTCGCTGCTTGGACATGTCCCCTGGCTTGCAGAGGGACTCGCCCTCTGGCGATTGTTTCTCGTTGTTTCGAAACCGTCTGTGACTCATTTCTTGACGTGGAGTTTTGTACTGTTCTATCTTTGCGTGTGTGTGCTCGATCAGGAAAACAACATGTTTTTCCCGTTCAAACAAGCCTCATTTTCGTAGCAAAATCTTTCTCTCTGGTAAGCCTCTTTAAAAACTAGACTTGGTTATTAGGATAAAATTTCGCTGTATTTGGAGACGTCTGAGACTAAGACTTGGTCGGAATAGCAATGTCATTATAAGAATTTGACTGTTTTGTTCATACTTTTGGTGATAATATTCGTTATCTGTATAGCGTTAAACTTAATTCTTTTACTTAAATCCTTTTACCAATGGTGGATATGTTTTCAAGCATTTTTGTTTTCTTTTTTTAACTTAGTTGACACAATGGCAGATTTTGGAAAGAACCTCCATCGGGACATGGTTTCTCAGCTGCATAATTTTGCCGCTGTTGGAGATGCAGCCAAACTGAAAGAGTTGCTCAGTCATTCACCATCACTTATCAATGCAGCTGGAGATAACGGCTGGACAGCCCTGATGTATGGTGCCAGAAATGGACACTTCAAGGTTGTGCAGATTCTCCTTGAAGAAGGGTAAGCTGTTTAGTAGATCCAATTGGAGAGCTCTAACCTGATCATTTCAACTTGATCTCAGAAAAGTAAATTTACCTGACAGATAGTGGGAGAATTTGCAGGATTAAAACTCTAGAAAATGTACTCTGTGCCTGTCTTTAACTAGATTTTGCTATTACATCGTGCCTTCCATATTTGCTAAGAAACTCTTTAAATGAGCATCTCTAAAATTATTTCTTTCATCTTCTGTGATATATTGTTACTCCTCCCAGAGACCAACAGAATAGAGCAAAATTTGTATCCTATTCCCACCATTGTACTGAGTATAACTTTGGTATATTTTGTTTGTTCCACTTAGACTTTTTCTCTAAACTTTATTTGTAATCCACTTGCATCTACATTAGAGTGTAAAATGTTTACTGACTTACTGGCTGTTAAGTAGGACATGACAGACACACCTTTACCAAAGTTACTGATTAATGAATTTCATTTGTCTGTTATTTTTTGGACAATTCGCTTCCTCCTTGAGCTGTCATGTTACTTTCTTCAGTCAGTATGGCACCAGGCATATTCATTGCTTGTCAGAAACTTGCTGTCATATTTGTTGTCTGTCTCCAAGTCAACTGTTGTACTTCTAGTTTTTCAAGACAGTAAGAAAAGCAAAGAATGCTTTAAAGTTCTCCATGAGACCCCAAAGGAGATTCTTCTGAAGCATGAATAAAGTCAGGATCCAACTATTTCAAATGGAAGACATTTCAAAATGAAGGGTGAGAGTCAGGTGTTACGGTTCAATTGAGATCCACATTAATCAAGCCCAGTCTATTCCTTTATGCACCTTTAATTACAGAACCGAGCAAGTTTAGTTTTAAGTAATCTCAAGCACAGCATTCCACAGCTTTCAATGATCATCCCATCCTTTTTGTTTTTTCACTCCTACTCAGATGCCGTGCCCTCTGCTGAGGCCTAGCATGGAGCGTCAGATGAACCACTGTTTTGTGCTGTAATCAGTACATTCCAGCAAGTAGAGGAACATCTCAGTGCCAGATTTTGTGGATTGAAATCATCTGTGTATTGAGGAATCTTTTGAGATTTTGGGCAGTTTACCAGATTGGTAAATAGGATAACAGTTTTTTAAGTTATGCTTACTGTAAAAAAGGAGTGAATATCCACTTATAAATTTCCTTTTCAGGGCTGTTCTCTTAGGCGATTGAACGTAGTTCCTGAGGTGATACTATGGCCTCATTGGTCAATTATGCTTAATCATAATAATCATTTGGACAAATACATTTGCTGGGTATATAATCAGGAATGTCTATGAAGGTAATATTACATAACATTCCAGATACTAATCCTGGAAAGCTAGTCAATGTTTTTTTATATTCATCCATGTTTGAGAAAAGCTACAGGAAATGTTTGTAGACTGGAAGAAGTGATCTTAGTGATCTAAAGAGTTCAGGCCACTGTTGTGGACACTGAATAGCAGCTTGATCACAGCTTGTACATACCTGAGCAGATGGAAGACAAAATCCAAACAGAGTTCGATGGCTGGGAGTTGGGAAATTAAGTAGGAAATCAGGCAAAGTTTCACCTAACAGAGACTTAATCTTTAAAGATAAATGAGCAACAGTAGTTACTTTTGCATCAAAAACTAGTAAATTAAGTTTTGGATGCTTTTCTAAAATATATTCAAACTCCCTCAAAAACTATTTATGTTAATATAAAATCTGAAGTCAAAACAGTCTTGCCTGTGGTACAGTTACCTGTGTATCAGCAACATGAATGTGCTGGCGTGTTCTGCTCTTAAAAACTGATGAGTCTGGCCCCACATCTACTATACGATTTGTAGTTCACAGTGAAATTTCTGGTTTACTTATCCATTTGAGTTAAAATAGACAAAAAGTAAAAATGCATTTTTTGACCTCCCAATCGACCTCAGTCTATTTCAGATTTTTTTTTTTTTTTGCTAATATCTAAATATATATAATGAGGCGATGTTTCCTTATCTGTGTCATTTTACAGACATTTTGGTAACAAAGAGATTCCTACAGGGACCAGCACCACAGTTGTAATGGTGCTGCTTCTCTCACTAAGCAGAGGCTGTATTCTTGATTTTTATTTAATGGTTAATATTTTCTTGTAAATGGTTTGATGCTGCTTTTACTAGCTTCTAGAAAGTAATGCTAGTTAAACTGCCTTTTTTTTTTTTTTTTTTCTAATTACTGATTATTCAGAAGAGAACTGTAGCCTGGCTTTCAAAGTTCTGTCTGTAAATGATCTTGCCTTTTTTTTTTTTTTTTTTTTTTCACGTGATGCTTTGTGTGAGATTTTAATTAATTCATCGCTATTGTAGTGCTACATGAACCTTGGTAAGTAACTTCTGGAGTGGATCAAAAAAATGTGAGATCTGGTCTTAGCAAAAGAAAATGAAGGATGATTACTTTTCATTACCATAATGCTAAGTATTTAGCCTAACATATTGCCCAGTATAGACAGAGTGTCTAAAAGTTTTTGCACCTTAATAATATCAGATGTATATGCTGTAAGTAAGAATAGTACATCATCAGGACTCTTCCCAAACATATTTACCCTGGTAACCACTGTTCTTTCCTGTTTCTCTAGGTGTGACAGGTCCATTGTTAATAAATCATGGCAGACAGCTCTGGACATTGCTAAATTTTGGGGATACAAGCACATAGCTAATTTGTTGGCTAATGTGAAGGGTGGGCAGACACCTAATTTTCTGTCAAACAAAGTGAAAGAATATGAAAATTATTTTGGCTTGACACTTCTGGACAGAAGGACTGATAAAAGAACAGATTCCAAGTGGCTAAGCAAAAAACAAAGCCATCCAACTACAGTATACATCCTCTTCTCAAATCTAAGTCCTTTGGTTACTTTGAGTGGGGGAACAGAGAGCTCCCAGCAGTCAGAAGTAAAGCTTTGCAGGCTGTACCACAAGGATGTGGAGCAGTGCATGAACCAAACAGAAGAAAGCACCTTGATTTTCCTTGGAGTTGAACTTCAGTTCCACATGAACCTGCTGGCTGCTTGCAATGGACGTGTTCTGCAAGAAGATGAAGAGGATGGGTTAGTTGCTTGGTTTGCTCTTAGTGTAGATTCTGCTTCTGCTGAGAAATTTAAACAGAAGCATGAGGACTGTTACTTTCTTCAACCACCAATGCCAGCACTACTGCAACTACCTGAAAAAGAAGCTGGTAAGATGCATAAAATGCAGCAGTTAGCAAATGTGTAATCAGAAGGATATGCTTTGGGATTCACTGAGGTATAATGCAAGGACAAACCACTGCAAAGGAATCAGGTATTTTCAGTGGCTTTAGAAATATTTTAATTTTAAAAGCCTGTCAGTGGTTTTGTGAAGAATTTTGCATGTAAGAACGTGTGCAGTTGCAAAGTGGTAACATCTACAATGGCAAGTATTAGACTGTAAAATCTATTGATCATAGAATGGTTTGGGTTGGAAGGGACCTCAAAGATCATCTAGTTCCAATCCCCCTGCCATGGGCAGGAACACCCTCCACTACACCAGGTTGCCCAAAGCCTCATCCAGCCTGGCCTTGAACAATTCCAGGGACGGGGCATCCACAGCTTCTCTGGGCAGCCTGTTCCAGTGCCTCACCACCCTCTGAGTGAAAAATTTCTTTCTTATATCTAACCTAAATCTCCCCTCTTTCAGTTTAAAGCCATGTCCTATCACTACACACCCATTGTAAAAAGTCCCTCTCCATCATCATGGTTTTATAAATGGTACTCTTTAAATATTAATGCATGCACCTTAATGTTCTAAAACAAACCAAATCTGTCATTACTGAGTTTTCATTACAAGAAATGAGTCCTTAATGTGTTGGATACTCATCTGAGAAGGAAATAGTCTGAGCAAGTGTTGGAAAATCAAGATCTCAAAGTGAATGAAATGTCATTAGGGATAGGTTGTTAGCAACTGCTGTTGTAACAGTTTTCCTTTTACAGATAGATAAAGGACAAGCTTGACTTGCACCTGATGTTTAAATGGAGCAATGCATTATTATGTTAATACCTGTAGTAGCCCTAAAATGGCCTTCTGGAAAAGATGTGATATAGAATTCTGGCACTTTGCCCAGATAAGTAACTTTTCTGAGAAACGGGATACATTGACTTGAATGAACTTGTTTCTGAATGCGTAAATTGGTCCATAGCTACCTAGTACTGTGTTCTATTGCATGTGCTGTCCTATGAAGAAAAAGATCTGAATAAGTCATACTCCTCAAATTCTCTTGACAAGTCAAGCCATAGTCTTACTTTGCTTTTTATGTTAAACTTTAATGCCTGTTTTTTTTTATAATATTAAAAGCTTACATGAATTAGTATTTAGGTCTGTGTATTTTCAATGTCATCTTTTAAAGGAATAGTAGCCCAAGCTAGATCTGTTCTTGCTTGGCACAGCCGCTACCGATTCTGCCCAACATGTGGGAGTGCAACCAAGATTGAAGAAGGAGGTTACAAAAAAACTTGCTTAAAAGAAGAGTGTCCCAGTCTCCAGGGTGTTCACAACACATCATATCCAAGAGTTGGTGAGAATATTGTAGAATAGACTTGGTCAAAAGCAGCTTGTTTGTACTGTAATTTACATGTTCATCAATTTCTTTTTAGTTATTTCAGCTGCTTTCCTCTGTCCCTGGTCTAATATACTTGTCTCTCCCCAGAGGACGTGTGCCTGAGCTGTATTTAGGGTTAAGTAGTTCAGGCTTCTCTTTCTTGCAGTAGTCTGTGACAAAGAATTGCTGTGATTATACCAATCTTTATTGCAATGGAGTAATATAAATTAGAAATTCCAATAGCATAAATGAGATACTAACAATACAAAGTGTTTTACTTTCTTTTTTTTTCCCCCTGCATGTTGTTTTCTCACCTTTTGCAAGCCATCTGAGCTTGAAATAGCTCTATGCCAAATTTGGCCTGTATCAGGTTTCTGATACAGTGCTCGTTTTCCTGTAGTGCTACTTTGACTGTATTAGCCATCTTCTCTGGCTTTCGCTTTTCACTGTCAGTCGCAAACTGCCAGGCCTATTTCTACTCAGAATTTAAGCTTGTGTAGTCATGACAGTCTTCTATAGCTCCTTTTGTTCACGCATTGCAAAAAAGTGTACTATGCTATGGATTGCGAAACAACAAAGGGAAAAAAACTTAACTTTTTTTCCCCTGAATCATTTGGTGACTTTGATGACCTTTCCTTCCCCTACCCGTCTTCTGCAGTTGTAGTTCTGGATGTTGTATGTGTGCTGTATTTCTGAATTTCGTGTTCTCTTAAATGCCCTAGATAGAACTTTGCAGTAATCAAAGCAATTCTGCCATGTTATTCTGTCTTATGGACTATAGTGAAGCTTGCTAAAATACTAGGGGCTGTTTCTTTAGAGTCTCTATCACAACAAACTTGGAGGAGGAGTAGAATTAAATGGAAAGGACTGAAGAACAGACGTTTTCTACTGATACCTTTCTCTGAAGAAAGTTTTTATGCGTATTTTACACTGTGCCATGTGGCAGATATATTTGAGCAGGACAGCAATCTTTGAAATTTTACAGTGTTTACAGTGGTTGGTGAATCAAGTGTTGTGGGTTAGGCCAAATCCCACACACAGCCGATTACACCCCCTCCCCCACCTCCAGGAATGAGGGAGAGAATTAAAGGATAAACGGGAAACCCATGGGTTGAGATAAGAACAATTTAATAGAGATGATTTAATACACAGAATAGGTGCTCACCACTCCCTCGTATGCGAAGCCCATCTTGACCCGAAGCTGCAATCCCGGATGAACGCGAGGCCCCGAAATAGAGAGGGGCAGAGAGAGAGAGATAGTACTCCGAGAGTGGGAGTACTGGGAGAGAGAGGAGAAAAAAAAAAAAAAAAAGGCAATAGAGCAAAAGCGCAGCAAGCGCAAAAGAGCAAAAGCAGTGAAAGAGCCAAAGCGCAAAAGCCCTTCTTTCCGGCTGACCCTCACTTTTATACTGGGCATGACGCTGCATAATATGGAATATTACTTGGCCAGTTTGGCTCTCAATCTTAAGCTCCACCACAAATCATAAGGGGAATCGTGTCCCCCTTGTGCCAACTATGCTCCCCTTTTATCCCGCCGTGCTTCTGCACTCCGGCACGCTGAAAAGTCCTTGGAGTCTCACACCCAATCACAAACATCAGCTTGCTATCAGCATTCTTCTCAGAGCGAGCCTCTGAGTAAAACCAAAACACGGAGCTCTTCTAGCTGCTAAAAAGAAGAGCTAACACTGTCCCAGCTAAAACTAGGACATCAAGCCTTTTCATGCAGAGAAAATACTAATATTTTGGACAAAAAAAAAAGGTATGAAAAGCAATAGCAAAAGAAAAAATATATAAAGAAAGAGATAGAAAAAAAATAAAAACAGAACATTGAGATACTTAAGAGCTAGATAACAATGTAAAAGGGAAAAACATTGTAGATGAACAGTGTGCAGAAAGGCATGACAGAAAGAATGATATCAGTAGGAGAAAATAGTTAAGCAAGAAAGAAGATACATAAAATTACCAGATCTGAGAAAATAGATAAATGTGCAACATCAGATGAGAAGCTGATCACAGTCTAACAAAGTCAAGAGGGAAAGTTTAGTCAGTACAGTACTTACATTGTAACTAGAATATCTGGCTCTTCTTTGGTATTTCAGTCAAAAGCATGCTCTTCAGACCTTTGTGTGTAAGAGGAGGTAATAGTAAGTTGGTTTTGCTGCAGAAATTATTCTTGTGTGCTGCATTCGTAGCTGGGTTAGTATTGCTGATCCTCTTAACAAATTCTGTGCTTTGATTGCAGGTAATTTATGTCCTGCATTTCAAGCCTTGGCTAAGCATGCATGTTGCAAAACAAAATAAACATATCTTGCAGGGGGAAAAAAATAAAATAACAACTTGCTCTGGGCTTCTATGCAAGTCTGGTTTCAGTCACTTAAAGTATCTTATTTGTATTTATATGGACTGGCATCAAATGGGCTGAAATTTCTGACTGCTTTTAAATCCCTCAAATATTGAAATGTGTTCCTTTCATGTCCCTTATAGATCCTGTTGTGATAATGCAAGTCATCCATCCAGATGGGAACCACTGTCTCTTAGGTAGACAGAAGAGGTTTCCCCCAGGAATGTTTACCTGTCTTGCTGGATTTGTAGAACCTGGTGAGTCATTTCACTTTCCCTTACTACCAAATGTTTTTCTCGCCTATTGGTATTGTACATTGAAAATAATATAGAAATATGTTCAATGTTATGTCAAATAAATGTTTTTGCTTCCTGTTAGATAAATTGTTGTGTTAAATGTGCCTGTTCTGTACTTGCCAGCAGCTGATTTATAAAAAAAAAAGCAAAAAGCAACTTGAGTAACTCTAATTTAAAGATAGTTTTCTCATCATGCACTCTTAAATCACATATTTAAGTGAAAAAACACATACAAGGTCCTTTCTTTGGTGATATTTAGCAAAGGGTTTTAGCATGTGTCCTAGTTTTAGCTGGGACAGTGTTAGCTCTTCTTTTTAACAGCTAGAAGAGCTCCGTGTTTTGGTTTTACTCAGAGGCTCGCTCTGAGAAGAATGCTGATAGCAAGTTGATGTTTGAGACTCCAAGGACTTTTCAGTGTGCCGGAGTGCAGAAGCACAGCGGGATAAGGGGGGAGCATAGCTGGGACAAGGGGGACACGATTCCCCTTGTGATTTGTGGTGGAACTTAAGATTGAGGGCCAAACTGGCCAAGTAATATTCCATATTATGCAGCGTCATGCCCAGTATAAAAGTGAGGGTCAGCCGGAAAGAAGGGCTTTTGCGCTTTGGCTCTTTCACTGCTTTTGCTCTTTTGCGCTTGCTGCGCTTTTGCTCTATTGCCTTTTTTTTTTTTTTTCTCTCTCTCCCAGTACTCCCACTCTCGGAGTACTATCTCTCTCTCTCTGCCCCTCTCTATTTCGGGGCCTCGCGGTCGTCTGGGATTGCAGCTTCGGGACGAGACGGGCTTCGCATACGAGGGGGTGGTGAGCATCTACACTGTGTATTAAATCATCTCTATTAAATTATTCTTATCTCAACCCACGGATTTCCTGTTTATCCTTTAATTCTCTCCCTCATTCCTGGGTGGGGGAGAGTGAGTGACTGGCTTGCGGCGGGGGGGGTCCAGTTGCTGGAGCTGCCTAACCCACGACAGCATGTGAAAAATAAATAGTTTAAGCATAACTTAAACATATGCTTACATGTTTACAGCCTGATTTATTGTATGGAAGATAAGCAGAAATTACGTAATTTTGAAAGAAAAGTAAAGAGATATTCTGCTAGCTGTGTTCAGCAATAATAGTTGCAATTAGTTACAATTATTAGTAGCTGCAGAACAATTTGTAAAACATTCTTATGTTGGGAATGCCACTTAATCACCAGTGAAATTATAGTGTATGACTATATTCAGTAACTGTGCGCAGGTGAAATACGGTGGCAGGATGAATAAGTTTGTTCAGGTATCATTCAAAAAAAGACAAGATGTTTGTTTCTTCACTCTTTTCTTTCTTCTGCTGGCCTTAATACTTTCTGATGCTAAGTTCAAGTATATAAACTGATATTTAATAGTAGCTGATCTTATTGTCAGCTTCTAATCAGCTGAACGTAGCTGAACTAAAACTTCTACCTCTGATGCATGGACTGTCTGCTTAATGAACCTGTAGTCAGTGGTCACAACACAGTATGTGTAGGCAAATGTAAGCCTATGACCATCAACACTCCATATATACATCAGGCATTTTTCCATGAATATAGAAGGAAAATTTTCCATTGCAGTCTAAGTTTGGAGAACTGGCTGTATGTGTTAAGCCAATGAGGAATGAGTTAGGCAAAGTGAATCATACAATGCAGAAATGTGTGCAGGTCTTCCAAAGTCTCTATTTTCTTACCGTTGTCATTTTAAATACTGATTTTCATGTTGTACTGCATGCTGTTGCAATCATACTGAAAATCTAAAAATACAGTGCTATTTATAAATGAGCAGATCAACATTTCAAAAGTAATTAAAGGAACAATGTATTTCTTACTCAAATTTTGATATTACAGGTGTGGTAATAATAGTTTGCTTGTATGATAAATTATCAATTCGGGAAATAAACATGTTGTAGTTTAGGCAGACCAGCAACTAAACACCGCATAGCTGCGTGCTCATCCTCCCCAACCCCCAAGGGATGAGGAAGAGAATTAAAAGGGAAAAGGGAAGGAGACCCATGAGTTGAGACAAGAAGAATTTAATACTACTACTAATAATATACGAATATATATATATATGTATAATGATAATAATACATACAAACAAGGGATGAACAGTGTTATTGCTCACCACCCGGTGACCAAGGCTGTCCCGGACTAACGATCTCAAAACAGGTAAGTCTCAACACCACAATCCCAGATGAGCAAGAGGCCCGAAAGGACGGAGCCGGGGGGATGGAGAGAGAGAGCACTCTGAGAGTTGGAGAGTGAGAGCCTTCAGAGGAGGAAAAGCCCTTCTTTCTGGTCAACCCTCATTTTTATACTAGGTGTTATGCTTCATGGTATGGAATACTTCGTTGGTCAATTTAGCCCTCATCCTAAGTGTAAGTTCAAATCGTAAGAGGAGTTGTGTCTCCTTTGTCCCAGCTCAGCCTGTTCTCCTGCACACAGGCAAGAACACGGCAAGTTGAAAAGTCCTTGAGACCTCAGTGCCAACTATAAACATCAGTGTGCTATCAACATTTTTCTTATAATAAATCCCAGACTAAAACCAAAACACAGAGCTCTTCTAGCTGCTGAAAAGAACTAACTCTGTCCCAACTGAAACCAGAACAAACATTATGAAGGAGAAATTATTTTCAGAGTTCCATTTTGCTTTGGTGGCTAGTTTTACCTTATTAGACTTCTGTATCTTGTACATAAGATCTGTGTCGTGATCTGTGAACTAGGTCTCTATAGATAATTGTCTGCACAGGTTCAAATCTTTTGAGTCAGTGCAAAGCACAGGATGTAATCATTGCTTGGAGTATTTTCATCAGCTGCGTGTTCTTTGCCCTTTTCGGTTAGGTGAAACAATAGAAGATGCTGTTCGAAGAGAAGTAGAAGAGGAGGTGGGAGTCAAAGTTGGCCATGTTCAGTATGTCTCTTGTCAGCCATGGCCAATGCCCTCCTCCCTAATGTTTGGCTGCTTAGCTGTTGCAGTGTCTACAGAAATTAAAGTTGACAAGAATGAAATAGAGGATGCCCGCTGGTTCAGTAGAGAACAGGTAAAGTTCAATTTGATTTCCTTCTTGTATTGATTAGTCTGTGACTGTATTGGTTCTGGCATACAATAGATACTTGTTTTTTTCAGCAAGTTGAATAAGCATGTATACTCCATTTTAACATACAATTGCATTATATTGTATCTGTAGATTACACACAACCAGAGAAAGGCAGATATTCACTGTAATTTCTGAGTCACTTGCAAGCCTATTTTACGACATTTTTGCCAGTTAGCTCTTCACCCTTTCCTTTTGGGAGATGTCCAAGTTGCTGTTTTAACCCGCTTTATTAGCAAGCATGTGCTTTCATTTTGGTGGAAGTAGTATTTAATAGCATTCATCATCTGAGTTTCTCCAAACAAGAATGCTACCACATTTGCTGGGAGGGGGCAGGTTTAGGTAAAACCTCTGGGAATTCAATAGTTTGAGCGTCTTTTTCCATGTCATACTGTTTTAGTACTCTGGTATTGATTGCAATGTACTATGCTGTCCTGGGTTTGGCTGGGAAAGAGGGAACTTTTTCTTGGGAAGTAGAGAGGAACCCCCGCAGGCAGCTGACCCAGTGTGGCCAGTGGCTATTCAATACCATGTGGCATCATGCTCGGAGTATATATTGGGGGAGCTAGCCAAGGGAGGGGTTTGCTTCAGGGGTCGGGAGCCAGCTGAGCTCCAGGTTCCGTGTGGCGAGCAATTGTAGCAGTTGGGTCGTATTGTTGTTGCAGTTGTACATTTATGGTTGATTACTCTTTTCTTTCCATTTTCCTGGTATCGTTCTATTAAATTGCCCTCATCCCAACCTACTGGTTTTTCCTCTGTTGTCCCCATTTTCTTCTGCCATCCCACCAGGGAGAGAAGTGAACAAGCAGCAGCGTGGTAGCTTAGCCACCAGCTGGGCTAAACCACGACATATGCATTAATAGAAAATTCTACACTTAACTTTCCTGACTATATTTAAAATATAGTCAAATAAAAGGGGGGGGGGGGAACTTTCACAGAAGGAGAGATTTAAGTTCATTAATGGAAAAAGGAAAGATTACTTACACAACATAGTCTTCACAGGTTTTTCCACAGGGTACTTATGAGCTAAACTTTTAATAACACTGTAGTTGTGACAGTTGCAGTCAACTCTGTAAGTCAATTTGAAGGCAAAGTTACTTACTTACTGGCAACACTGAGAGTGTTATTTTAAATCAATATCAATTCTGAATACAGCTAGTCATGTGCAGATTGGTCTAGAGTTGGAAATAAACGTAGTACAGAAATGTACTACACCAAAAGCATGCTCCCACGTTGCTTGCAACCGCTTCAGAAAACCAACGTAACACATTTCTTTCTGCACTACATGTGAGGGAGAAAAAAAAATAATTTATGGAACAGTGTAGAGCATCATGTGGTGGTCTTTACCATAAAGAAGTTTCACAAAAACCTTAAATATTATATCAGCAGTCAATCTCCGCAGCTTTATTAGAAAGAAAGTATCTGTTGGGGCACTTTTGAGCTCAAAAATGTCAGAATTCACACAATCTTATGTGTTTTTTTTCCCTGTATCTGTCTTGGAGAATCTGGTAGCGGCTCTTATATAGCTATAGTAATGATGGACTGATGAATCATCATAGTAAGATAATTCCTGCATTAATACAGTCTTAGATTCCATGTAGTCTATAATGTTGTCTTCTAAAGAAAAATATTCGTCTTTGTTGCAGGTTGTGGAAGTTCTCATTAAAGGAAATCAGCGTTCGTTCTTTGTACCACCAAGTCGAGCTATTGCGCACCAGTTGATAAAACACTGGATTGGAATGAATGCTAACCTTTGATTCAAATAATTGGTTTCTTTAAGTTAAATTACTTCTAGTGAATGCTAAATTAGGAATAAATTAAAAAGAATTGTTTGTCTAGTAAATATGCAACCATGTGAAAATTTTGAGCCTTTCCTTTAGTTCCTGACCTAAACATGCGAACTTTTGTAGGTTTCTTGAGATCTGAGTTAGAGCTGAACAACAATACAGTGATTTAGCCAAGCAAGCAAGTCTTGTTGGGCACAGGCTGCTTTTTAGTTTAGAATTAAATTATTATGCCTTTTGCTACTATGCTTTTAATGTTTGATTTGGTCTTTTTGTCTTTTCTGTCATCTATTGGAAGGCGTCACAGCATCACAGAGAGGTCTGACCTTGCCTGCTGTTTGAACTCTGTATTTACATCCTTCAATTTTGTCTTAATTGTTTCTTTCTCATTCTTTAAATTCTGCCTGGCACAAAAATCAAAATTCAGTGCTGGAAGTATTATCAACAATGGTTATTTTTAAGCTAATAGCATGCTTAAATGATTAATATGCAGTACTTTGTGTCTTTTACATTAATAGCCCTCTAAGCAGAGTATTTACTCCTCCAGTCTGATTTGGCCTGCATTTACCCAGTTGTATGTCAGCCTGAATTTAAAGGTATAACACAATACTCTATTTATGAAAAAGTATTGGAGAACAATGAAAAAGCATAAATATGAGATATTTTTATAAGATAATAATGTACTTATTGACCCTAGGCAGTGAGTTTCATTCTCTGATAATTAGAGATGGAATTGTAGAGTAATGGAGGAGAAAAGGAGATTAATTAAACAAGGCATAGGATCTCAAAATAAGTACAAAGTTCTTTTATGGAACTGGGGACACTAAGATTGTTACTGCTATTAAAAATTTTACAGTCGAATATATTAACCCCAACTATAAGACTGAGAAAGCAGTATATGAATTAAATTATTTACTTAGGTGCATTTAATGCTACAGTTCAGATTTGTCCTTAATTTATTGTATTATTGAAAAGAATGTTAACTAATGTTCTTTCAAAATGAAAGTATAAAAGTATACTGTTTTTCTTATTAATGTCTTTGTGTAACAGTTCAGTAGTCTGTGATTATGCAGTCATTGCAGTGATATAAAAAGAAATGCAAATGACCAGAAGGAAATACAATGACAGTACTAACTATGAACTTACTATCATGTGGTGATTTTTTTATTCAGAGTAATTTGAATATTTTTTAAATCAATGAATGATGTCAGATTTGTTTCAAAATTCTCTGCAAACTGGAATCAGTAAAAATGTTTTACAAATTGTAGTATTTCTTTTTTTCCATCCAGTGTCATGCTGTGTTCATTAGCTTTTTTGTTTGTTTGGTTGGTTTTTTTTAAGGCAGCGTGTATCAAACTTTAAAGCAAGAAGCATTGCTGACAGACATGGAACAGCTGACAGATCATTACATTGCTTCATTCTCTCCCTTGTTTCAGCTGTACCTACAAATGAAAAAAATCAGGTTATCTGTTGAGCCATCTGGAAATTAGAAGGAAGCAATACACTGCTTCTCTTAAAAATTGCTTTTGCAGAGAAAGGGAAGTATGAGAAGCTGTCATAGACTACAGCTACTAGCAGGATCACATGTTGTCAGTGGAATTAATCTTTTAAAAAAATTATGGGACAGAAGGAAGCCTAGTTGCAGGTTGTTCATGCAAGTAAAGGAGAGCATTGGGCAGTATGCAAACGGTGGAAGCTAAGCAATGGAAAGAATTTTTACTATTCATATGATGATTACATACTAAGGAAGATGAACAAGGAAGGAATAAGAAGCAGATGAAAGAGAAAGGATAGAGCAAAGAACAAATATAGGTAGTGTAAAGATTAATAGTTTGTCACATTGAGGTAACTAAAAATTCATGTATAAGACCCATGCTAGTATTAGTTTTTCATGTAGGAAATTATGGTAGGTTGCTATAGAAGTGGGTTTTGTAACTGTGAAAATCAGAAGAAAGTATTCAAAACCAATACTGATAGTAATACTCAGACTATTTTTTTTTAGTTTATAATCTGTATAAGCAATATATGTATGCAATTACAATGCTAATAAATAATTTGAAAAACTTCATTTTACTGCATGAAAAAAAACAGAAAAAGGATAGTTTAAAAAAGAAAATAATATTTCAATAATCTCTGAGTTTAATATTTTAGTGATCTTTCAGTCCTGATAACTTCTGGTGTTGCAACAATTTTTAATATATATACATTTTCAAGAGCTAAACCAACAGTTCTTTATAAGCTTTGTTTTCTTTTTTTCCCTCCCCAACAGATGAACCATTCACAAAGAAGATGATAAAGACCTCTTGTTTTAAGAAAACTAATTTGATAATTTTGGTCTCTTCTTTAAAGTGCAACTCTTCCTGGCTTTTTATTGCTTAAGTTGACCCGTCTTTAGGTTATAGGATTAAGTTTTAGTTTGAAAATACCTATGCATAGAAATATTCTGAAGGATAGTTATTGTTTGCAGATTACATATGAAATATCAAATTGAAGAGCCAAATGCTGTTTTTATTTAGCAACTAGAGAATTTAGAAAAGTGCCAAATTAAATTTAGCAACAACTAAATAATAACAACTAATAACCAACTCTGAGATGGTCAGAGCAACACTTAAGATTTGAGTTGTATGCCTTATCCAAAAGTCTGCAGCTTTGCAAGCAGGCTATTTCTTGCACTAATTTAATGCAATACATTAAGAAAATGGTATTCCTTTAACCACTAAAAATAGAAGGATTTTGTTCACGCTGTGTAATGACAATCTGTCACTCTCTTCTCCCTTGCTTCTACTATGGTACCAGAGCAAAATGAGTACTCATTACATGGAGATGTACAAGGCAGAAATTCTGGAGATGCCTTTTCTCCCAGTTTGTCTGTACAATCATGAGAATTAAATTATATTCAGTATATAATTTGTAAATATTCTGTATTTTATCTGATTTTGAAATTATGATAATTTTTTAAATAATAGAAATAGTAATTTAATAAAGCAGGAAAAAAATTGAGGTGTTTAAACACAAAACAAAGTTGATACTACTAAACAAGCTGTAAGCTCATGTGATGTAATGACATCTCATGTAAGCTCATGTAAGTACAATACTGATTGTGAGATTTTTTACAGACTTTGCGTTGGTCTCTGTAAGCATATTTCTTTTATCTCTTTTTTCATATTGGATATGTGTAAACATACGAAAAATAAAATCATTCCAGTGTTGATACTACAGCATGAACATTATATTTTGTGTTTTGTGTACGAATATTGTGAAGTTGGTAAATGATTATCTTGAATTCTACAACATGTGAAGGAAAAAGAGGTGGATATTAATGGGCTGATTAAAGGTAGACCCGTCATGATGCTTCATGGAATTAGATATACTAATCAGATTCTGAGCTTAGGAGACAGAAATAGAAAAAGAAGTGGAGCAAGACTGTGAACAATGTTGCTCCCTCTTTTATCTTTCATTTTAATTAGGTAATCTGATTGATTAAGACTTTTTCAGACAAACCTGACATTTTGTAAAGCTCCAGTAAGATGTGTTGTTACTTTTCTATCTGCTTTAGCTGCTAAGATTTAAATAACTACTAGTCCTTTATTGCTTCAGTGATTGGAAGGATATGTGTATAAAGCATATTATTACTGACTGGCATTGACAGTACAGAAGTGGGTAAATCCAAAGAAGGAAAAAAAAAAAAAAGAACTTGTTATCCTATTAAGCCTTAGCAAGACAGCCAGCCCACCCTTCATGGGCTTAGAAAAGCAAACTATTCGCAGAGAGTCCATAATAGCAAGCAAGTGTCTGAGAAAAATGAGTATTGGGTCATAGTAAAAGTAAGTATAAGCGTTTGGGGTTTTTTTAAACGACACTCTGTCAGGTAGTATTCTGTAGGTACTAATTCTTGTAACTCTTTATAGCTTTTATAAAATACAAGATTTCTGCATGGGTTTTTTACACAGTAGATACAGTTTAAAGAATTTCAATTCAGTACATAGTTTAATTTTCTAAATAAATAAGAATGATAATTTCCTAAATAGAAGGGACTTTCCAGATGGGTTTTTGTTTGTAAGTAAATGAATGTTTTCCTCAATAATAGGGATTTCTAAGACAGATTTTTTGATTCCTAAGGCTGTATCTGTCATCTTATTTTAACATACATGGTCTTAAAGTGTAGTAGCATATAATTTTAGAAGTAAAAGCCTACCTGAATGAATTTCAGTTCGTTATTTGTATTGTCATTCTGCAACTGCTGTTACAGGTGTGGAATCTGAGGAATGCTATGATAAAACTACAAGATTATTAATTGAAAAGGAATATTACAAATTGTTGAGTAAAGAAGCTTACAAACTCAGTTTACAGCACTTAAATAAGCCTGGATAGTAGGGTTTTTTTTCTCCTACCATTTCATCATGCTGCATACTAAACTACCCTTCGTAAAGTATTTTCTTATTGCTCTTTAAGGAGAGAAACATTCTAATGAGCTCTCGTAGTTCAGTGAAGAAAATGTAGACATTTTCTCAACACACCTGCTAAAACTAAAAAAGAGCCTATGAAATATTAAACATCTCATTTTTTATTCTAAGTCCAAATTACACCTGTTTTATGAAATATAAATTGTGGTTCTGGAGAAAGTGACCCTGGAAACTGCACAGTCAGAAAAGATAGTATCTGAGTTTCCTCATTTTAAATGGTGGAAATCATATGCTAGAAGCTGGGATAGATTTTTTTTTTTTTCCTCTTATTGCATTCTATGAGAAATGAAATATTTATTTAATTAAAGTTTCTTTTGGTGGGCTGAGTTTCAAGTGTAATCAAAGATTTTGGGTTTACGTTATGATGGGTGAACAATTCTGAAGCTCAAAAAATTTAATAATTTGACTTGACAAAGAATTGTAGTACTTTGTAGACAGTAACATCTTTGACTATATAAATTATTTTTCATTATTGGAAATGGTCATGTGTTATAGTGAGATTTCTTCTCA